TCCCTTAAAGCGATCCCTCGGATCAATTAACCAATTCTGTGTTTCGTTCCAGGCTCTGGTGTACCGGGACGGGAACCTAGTCTCGGGCTCCCTGGAAGCCCTGGTGCAGCACATGGTGCCCACCGAGGAATATTATCCCGATCGGGCGTACCTCTTCGCCTTTTTGCTGAGCGCCCGGCTCTTCATCAAGCCGCACGAGCTCCTGGGCGAGGTCTGCGCCCTCTGCGAGCATCAGCAAAACCTGAATGGAGAGGGTGGCAAGGTGAGGCCACGAATCCCCCGCGTCCCACAAAAGCGCCCCAACGGAGAGCCTTCCGGGCGTGCACTTTACGGCCACCGCGTGCATTATCGTTTCATCGTCTCGCGGGCTCGACCCCCTTTTGCATTCACCCCCTTCCCTCCTTTCTCCTCCCTTCACCTCTACGGAGAATCATCCCGGCACACGCTCAGCTCTCCTCGTTCCACGTTGTAATAACGAGCACGCGTATCCAGGCCAGAAAAGTCTCGCTCGCAAATGAATTTCCAGCCGGGCAACCCTTCACCCCCACCCTCCTCATATCGTCCCTGTAGAACTTTTTTTTTTTCAATTTCGACTTTTGTCACTTTGCACTTCCTTTTTGTTGTTTTTCTGTTGTTTGATTTTTTTTTTTCCTTTTTCGAGTGGATTCGGGAAAGGACAGCTGTCGCGGCGTTTGATACATCGACGCTGATTGCTGCGTGTTCCGTCTTCCGTTTGAGTGTAGATACGTACTTTTGTTTTCTACTGGAATTGGAATAATGTTGGTGACCCTGTTTTTAGTACACGGCTGGATAATATGTGACAGTCTTTTATGCTCGGGAGTACGGGGACTCGTAGCAATTAGCACGAACTTTGTTATTTTGGTTTATTTCGTTGCTAAGGGTGAGTATAGTCACTCAACGTTGAGCGCTTGCTGTGTACTAAAGGTGACTTATAGTCACCCAGCGCTGAGCGCTTCTTGTATCGTAAAGGTGATTGTAGTTACCCATAGAAATTTCGCATTACTTAAGAATCTACTTAAATTTAATAAATTTTATTTATTACGTAGGTAATAAGCAGATGTTATTCTATTTGCTTCAAAGTGTAGCCCCGCGAAACAATTGTACCATGCTTCCTTTCCACGAGAATCAACTTCCAAAGTTCATCTAACACGTACAGTGGCTGCAAAAAGCTTCCGGCCAAACTATAATGACACCAAACCTTTATCATATCTTTTGTCAGACCTATATTTGTTAGAACCAGGGAAACAGATTATTTTTATTATCACCAAATCCATAGAAGCAGTGCATCCTCGCGATGGTTCTGGAGTTTACTCGTATTACATATCTTTAAAACGATATGTCGAAATTATAGTTTGGCCGGAAACATTTGGCTGCCTCTAACGTGTATCCAGCAGATTTTCAAATTAAATTGTCTCGAAGCGTCGTACGAAAAAAAAAGGTTATTCTACATTTTCGACTTATTTTTTCATGTAGAATCACATGCTTTCGGATTGTACCGCCAGTTCAGAAGCAACATACATGCCTGAAGCCACAGTTAACCAGGGAAAGAAGGAAGACGACGGGAAATCGTGTGGCCTGTTTCAGGAACGTCTACAACGTTTCGTTCCGCGACTGGTGCAGCTGCTAGCTGAATGGACAGAAACATTCCCGTACGACTTCCGGGACGAGAGGGTGATGGGCCACGTCAGGTCCATCACGCAGAAGGTCGCTGCGGTCGACGCTGCGGCCAGGCAGGAAGTTTCAGCGTTGCTGCAAAACTTGCTGCTCAGACTAACGGCTCTGGAGAGGTACGAGGAAGGTCTGGCCAGGCTGGCGACCGAGGCAGCGACAGAACAACTTACGCAGGTTCGTAAAAGTTCTTGCAAATACGTATTCTTACCGTCGAGTCTAATAGTCACTTCTCTTGTTACTAGACTGTGAATAGAAGTTCAGATTTTTATAGATCAATTTACTGAAATAAAATTGTGTCAAAGGTTTGTTTCCTTCATTAAACGTTTTTTTGTTAAGTCCATAATATAACATATTAACCTTCAGGAAAGTTTTTGCATTCAATTTACGGAACTGAAATTATGTCAAAGATTTGTCTCCTTTATTAATCTTCTTTCAATCCAAAGTAGAGTAACGTTGATAGTGATCTTCACGAAAATTTTTGCTACATTGTGTTTTACAGACTTACAAGTACAATAAATGCATAAAATCCACAGTCTACTCATTACATATATTAATGAGTAATAAATTATTTTGGTTTAACAAGGTAACCTTAGGTATAGTTCGTGTCGTATATAACGTCATATCATTTTGAAGTTACCGTGCTTATACGTGATAATGGTTATAAAGGGTGTTTGGGAATAATTGGGATTAAATTTAGGGCGTGATTCTATATAACATGATAATATAACGAAAACCATAAATGGCGAAATTCCGGAGGGGATTTTGTTTCAAGTTTTAACCACTTACAAATTTGGGTGAGAAACTTGGCTTTTGACATTTTCGTTTAGCTAGTACACGACATTAAACCTGCTTACTCGTTAAAATTCCCAGGGCCGAATTGACTGACATAAATTATTACTGTAAGTACGATGCCGTTTATGTCTTTATTATGACATGGCCACTTAAACAGTAAATAACTATAGTACTCATTCTGTATTTCTTTCTTCATTCAGAAAACGTAAAACAAAAAGCATAAGCAGTTAAAAAGTTATTCTTTATAATGAATTCAAATACAAATAAAACATTTTGCAATGTCTAGAAGATGAAACGATCTGGCAAAAGTACACGTTACGTTAAATCTATGTATTTTTAAATACTAATCTTTCAACTCATAAATATTTTTAATTCTTTGTGCGTAGGATTCAGTGGTTTGATAATATTTACCAAGTTACATAGGGATCACTCGACTTACTGTAACTGCGCCAGACTTTGCAGAAGTTGCGGTATAATGAACCGATAATATTCTACGGTGTCCACCCGGTTCTGTTAATTTCCTGCACCAATTCGAGCCTTGTGAAATCAGGCTCTTGTTCCCGCTTAAATGGCCCACACGTGTCCTCTGTACTTGTATCGATACGAACGCACTTTCCACCATTTGCATACGTATGAGTAAATGTTTGCATAAGCCGTTCTCTGGTACAAAGTCCAATCTATGGTAATGTTTACAGAAACGGAGAAGTAGAATGCTTCGAACAATCTCAAACGAAAATTTCAGGGCTTCGAATACTACTGTTCAAAATTATTCACATAATCTATTTATTTTATTACAAGTCTATGATGTATCAACACAAATATATATTTTCGCTACCTTAACAATATTTCTTATTTGTTAAGGATGGATTGCTTATTGATACACCATAAATTTCACGGATATATCTATGGTACCGCAAATTGGGGTAACTTCGAGTCAGTCGGGGGTAACTACGTCCCAAAGTCAGCAAATCATCAATATCAATTTTGCAACATTTGTGCAGGTAGTTTTCCACGAAATACCTTTACACATAAAAATGAACTTAATTTAACAATTTGAAGAGCTGCAAAATCGAAAATTATTATTTTCTGCCCAGGGTCAAAGTTACCATGGCTGAGTCAAACTTACCCCAACTTACGCTACACAATAAATTATTACATCAAAATGAATTTCTTACTGGTACACCATAAAATCGCCAAATTTCCTAGCCCACTTATTAGAAATTAAAAGTACTGTTAATAGATTCTTGATTCCAACAATTCACATCGGAAAGCCAGTTCAACGTTCTCCGGATAGTTAAGCAATTCCGCCTCGATCCCGATTTCCTGGGCATGTCTCTTTCCTAACAGACGTTTCAATATTTTACCCCAAACCTAGGCCAGTGGGCACCGATAACATTTGCGTCGGATTCGCACACGGGTCCTGTTTATACACGTTGTTTCGAATGGACGCAGGACGAGAGGGTCCAGTGCAACACACGGACTCGCGGATTCGGACGCGTGCACTTTGTGCAGTTAGGTTAACGGGGTTACGTAGTTTCCTGGCGCAGGAGACAGTAACTATTCGGTTTAATTTGATTACCGCACGCCTATCCGCCGCCGCGTGTAACACCTACTAATAGCTAATTTGCAACTGCATTAGTTAGTTAAATATGCCGGTGCAACGGGCGTGGCTAATTAGGACGGAATTGCGTGTGTGGATCTCGCTACAAGCTACCGCCAATGATCGTGCGACTGAAGAAATAGCCGTGTTTCGTTCGGATCGAACGGAAACTGGCGTATTCGGCGGTTCACTAATCATCTGCATTTTCGAAGATCCCACCAGACGTAGACGGTGTTGCGCGAATTAATGAGTGAGGTCCAGAAACGTCCCACGTATTTATTAATGTTGTCCTATGTAACGCATCGTACGATTCAATAAAAACCAAAATCAGTATTTTTAATTAATTTTAGTATTAATAGAAATTTAATTGAGTTTCCCTCAATGCATAATAAAACGTAGATTTTTTTCAACCCTTTATCTCAAGCTTATTGACTGTCAGTGGCAAGAAAGGAATGGTTTATTTTGATCCTGAAAGATCTTTCATCATCCCGATGACGTAGCATTAAACTGATATTTCATCCGGAACGAATGAATAATAGCGGCGTTCTTTATGATCAAAGGGAGATAAATTTCCTGTGGCATAATAAATAACTTTCTCATCTAAGCCTGGTTAAAATGGATACATTGCCTATCAGAAGTTTCCGGAAATTGTTGAATAGACAGCTTCTATAAAAGACAATTTTTAATATTCATTTCGTATGTAACCATCCCGTAACCTGGTTGTTTGATTCAATGGAAATTTGTTACGATTAATATAATACAGTTCTTTGCCGTTCGTTTGTTCTGTATTCATGGAAAAAGTTAATATAAACGCAATTTTCTCCGTCGGCGATGATAAGAACTGGGCGCGCCGTATGCACTTATTGGGGATCTTCCGTGAAGTATTCCTTTCACGCAGAAGATATTAAAACCGTGAAGTATTGAATAAATATTAAATTCTTAATTCATGAACGAGGAATATCCTTCAATTCGTCTGAAAAATTACACCAATGATATTCATTTACATTGTGAATTTCACCCGATATCTTCAATCTTTTTGAAGTACAGAGTACATGTAATACATGGTCCACGATAAATATTAAATAACGATTCCTCTTTTGTAGGTAGGATAGATTCTTCTACTAAATTTCAGTTTCTAGAATAAATAGTATCGATGGAAATTATTAATAATTGTACCGAAACGAGTTTAAAACTTCCCAACACTTTTCATATTATTGATTAAAGGAAATGTATTTAAGAATTTTATAAATCCTCTATAATTTAACGCGAATCGCAAGAGAGTATATCAGATAACCAAATATATACACACAATTTTTATTTTATTTCCTTCTTTAACAATATGTATATTTTTTTCTAAATTTCTGTTAACAAGTTCGGCTGACAGGCCAGTCTTCTATCTCTGACAGAAATTAATTAATTAATTAAACGAGTTAACCTGATCACTATAGCAATTTCACTGTTCAACACGTAGAAAAATCTTCTCTATAGCACACGGTGGTAAGATTTTCTCCTAAATCCTTAGTTCTTGAAGTAAATTAAAAAATTCCCTATGATTTTCTTGACGACTGCAGACTCCAGGATTACATGGTTGTCGATAGTTATCCAGAAACGAAAGGAATACTGTACTTATCGCGACTGTATTATTACTGTAAAAGTTAAATATTAATGCCAGCAACGTGGCATTTCACTTCGACTGAAAGAAAAATCCGAATAATATTCTTCTTCGTTGAATCGATTTTGAAATCGTCAACACAAGTTTGACTTGATGTTATAGAATGAATTATAGGGTTAAAGAAACTTCTACTTGGTTCTAGTTTCTGTCGATTAATCCGAAAACGTCTATATTTGCATAAACATCCACAGTCTACTGATTACGTGGTATATTTTACGTCACGTTTAAGTCAAGAGTGTATCTCCCTCATTCAGTATAATACTCTGGTAGCGGTGGTGGCACAAGCAACGCGAGAAATCATCGCAGAGTAAAGAAAAATGTCCCACGGTATCCTTTCAGAGGATCGTATTTGCGTGGCGGGACTTGTGCGTCTGTGGCCAAGATTTACGACGGAATTGCATCGAAAGTGCAGGAAGTCGGCGGCTCCAGGGAAGGCAATAAAAATGTACGGGGTTGGGAGAGGAGGGGGAGAAAAAAAGAATGGCAGATAAGGAAACCGGGGTAGTTCGGGGCTCTTAGGGAAGCTCCGGCTTATTAAAGTGGAAGTTCGCCGCGCTTTTTGAACTCGTTCCCTGCTACGTGCCGCAACGACAGCTTCGCTTGAACTTTTTCAAGAAGCGAGACGTAACTCGCAAGACCAATAATACGCCCTTAATCTCTTTTCCTCCCCGCCTACGTCGCTGTCGTCGCTCCCTCTTCCCACCCCCTCCACGCCCCGTACTCGCCACCGACGTCAGAAAAGTTCTAAGCGTGGCCAGGAACCGCTCGTCCACGGAATGCTTTATCGTATTCGAGAGACCGCGGTGTTATTAACGTTTCGATCTACCGTTCGATACTGCGTGATTGGCGTAGTGTCATTGCGAGGACCGTTTTATCAACGACAGATTTTTTTTATCGTTTCAGATAAGTGTTAACATTGCTCAGTGAAACGTCTTGCAGAATAACTTAAATATTTTAATGCTCTATTCAAATATTTTATCTCGTTTTCTTAACATTCGATTAATATTTTCAAGTCTGGACGTATTTGATCTGACTTTCCATTCCAAGCGATTGAATCGTATTATATTAGATGTATATAGATTAATTGGTAACATAATCCAAAACCAAAAC